AGCTACCGCTGTGAATAAAGATTCTCTTAAACACTGAGAGCGGTAATACTTTATATAATCAAGTTAAAATATTCGACGTGAGTTATTGCCTTTCAAAGAATATATGTAGAATATATGTGACACAGCACTGGCATCCAGTAATACAATATCTATCTCGTATAGGGATTTCAATAAAGTACAATAGACATATAACAATAACATTATACATGGAACAAAGAACATTTACACACATACATAGGTCAGTGTTTACAGTAGTGCATAAATTATTGTGCCACACGAGAGAAATGATCAGACTCGGGGCATTCACAACAATTAATATGCAATAAAATTATATATGGACCTCAAGGTCAAGACCAAGAAGTGATATCAGGTGTGTGCAAATAAGTGAGCATACCCTGCTCTACCAGTAACATCCACAATATATCAATCTGAATAGTCAATTCATATAAAAAATTTCCACATAGGACAAATGATGTTAAAACCGAGATCGTCTGCCTCGGTGATTTGTCGTATTTTGTAACCAGTTCATGATATCTGCTGTAGAAGTGTTTGAATGTTGAAATAAGACGATTTCTTTAAAAAACTTGACTTGGTAGCTTGGGAGACAAGAGTATATGACGTTTTTCAAAGTCATCAAAGTGAAAAATCTAGCATATAGAACAAGTTGTGAAATGAATACACCACATGCAGGTGAAAGGGGAATATTACTACATAGTCACCCTTAGATGAATAATCACCCTTAGAATCAAATTCAAGAACATTAGCATATGAGATATTAACTTGGTTCTGTGGTTTCTTTGACTTTAAGTTCAGATGCATACATAATAGAGAGATAATTGTTGATGCAATGAAATTACACGATTAAAAACCTGAAGGTTCAATTGAATGGTTTTGTCTTCCCGCGTCTCATTTTTTTACAAATTTCTGAAGAAATCCTGCCTCAACTGAGTAAAGAAACAACACGACCAGCACAATTAGAATGCCAATGCTTTTCTGAAAGATATGGCCACCAAATTGCACAAATATGTTATCACCCAAATATTCAAGCATACTGACGATGTTATATTTTGATAATGTTTGCATCAGTTTTATCAGTAACAAAATAGTTTCTGTTGTAACCTGTAGCAAAGAGTTTGAAATTTTGGAAATTCTGCAATATCCACATTTGAAAGTGATAGAGGTAGTTGGTAGAATATATGTAACATATTAAAAGTGGTAGTTGGTATAGAAAGTGATAGAGGTAGTTAATAGAATATGTGTAACATATTAAAAGTGGTAGTTGGTATAGAAAGTGATAGAGGTAGTTGGTAGAATATATGTAACATATTAAAAGTGGTAGTTGGTATAGAAAGTGATAGAGGTTGTTGGTAGAATATATGTAACATAATAAAAGTGGTAGTAGGTATAGAAAGGGATAGAGCTAGTTGTTAGAATATGTGTAACATATTAAAGTGGTAGTTGGTATAGAAAGTGATAGAGGTAGTTAATAGAATATATGTAACATATTAAAAGTGGTAGTTGGTATAGAAAGTGATAGAGGTAGTTAATAGAATATATGTAACATATTAAAAGTGGTAGTTGGTATAGAAAGTGATAGAGGTAGTTAATAGAATATATGTAACATATTAAAAGTGGTAGTTGGTATAGAAAGGGATAGAGCTAGTTGTTAGAATATGTGTAACATATTAAAGTGGTAGTTGGTATAGAAAGTGATAGAGGTTGTTGGTAGAATATATGTAGCATATTAAATGTGGTAGTTGGCTATAGAAAGTGATAGAGGTAGTTGGTAGAATATATGTAACATATCAAAAGTGGTAGTTGGTATAGAAAGTGATAGAGGTAGTTGGTAGAATATATGTAACATATTAAAAGTATTAGTTGGTATAGAAAGTGATAGAGGTAGTTGGTAGAATATATGTAACATATTAAAAGTGGTAGTTAATATAGAAAGTGATAGAGGTTGTTGGTAGAATATATGTAACATATTAAAAGTTGTAGTTGGTATAGAAAGTGGGACAGGTTGTTGGTAGAAAATATGTAACATATTAAAAGTGGTAGTTGGTATAGAAAGTGATAGAGGTAGTTGGTAGAATATATGTAGCATATTAAAAGTGGTAGTTGGTATAGAAAGTGATAAAGGTAGTTGGTAGAATATATGTAACATATTAAAAGTATTAGTTGGTAGAGAAAGTGATAGAGGTTGTTGGTAGAATATATGTAACATATTAAAAGTATTAGTTGGTAGAGAAAGTGATAGAGGGTGTTGGTAGAATACATGTAACATATTAAAAGTGGTAGTTAGTATAGAAAGTGATAGAGGTTGTTGGTAGAATATATGTAACATATTAAAAGTGGTAGTTAGTATTGAAAGTGATAGAGGTTGTTGGTAGAATATATGTAACATATTAAAAGTATTAGTTGGTAAAGAAAGTGATAGAGGTTGTTGGTAGAATATATGTAACATATTAAAAGTATTAGTTGGTATATTAAGTGATAGAGCTATATAGCACATGAATTGTTAACCAGACCTCGTTTTTACATATATTGAATATGTTTTGTAATATTAAGAATTTTACACGGAGATATATCTTGGCAAAGAGCAAATGTTTTTATTATCCTCTTATAGTATTGTATTTGAATAACTATATGCCACATGGGGCCTTCTCAGCCGCATACTGCAATAGGATAAAATAGAGACGAAGACCTAGGGACCCTGACGCCAGAATTTGAAATATCTTTTAAAGTAAACAAATAATTCTGATGCATTTTACGGATGAGTGAGATCATGTTACGTAAATCGTGCTGCAAAGTTGAGTGCGACAGTTCGGAGTTAATATTAAACACAAAATATATACAAGTGACTATTCACTGAGAAATCGTCGGATTCACTCGGTGGGGCAATTCTTTGGATTCGGCATTCATGCATGGCCACATGAAATGCTAAATAACCGTATGATAAAATATTTGGACGATAGTCATACTAAATCTGAGCTATCAATATTTGGCTTTCATTTCGATAGAGCTTCGCTTGACATATTGAAAAAACTCATTCATTTCATTCATTATTTCACTTGACATTCTGCGATCAAACGTCGTTAAAAATGTGTTCGTATAACAATGCGTTCGTCACAATTCAAGTCGTACAAAGAAACAACGATCAGATTAAGCCCGGTATGTTTTAATCCATCATGGCCTGGTTGCCCCGACATCCGGCCTGTTATTATTGTATTCCTGCACACTGTTAATCTAAATTGCAGACATTTGTGTCCCGTTGCAAAAAGTGTTAATGTTAATGGCTTTCACTCGACGCACATTTTGTATTTTTGATCATGGCACATGTCTCAACCGGAGACATGCTATAAAGAACTATTCATTATCACGTCATTTATGAAAGTGCTTTTGCTTAGACATATTTTAAAACAATTGCATTTTTTTCAGATAAATTAATTCCAGAAAAACTGTAAAAGAGCTCTGGGTGTGCACAGGAAATTTGGTGATATTTTTAAAGATAAGCTCAAATGTTCGTATCGTATTTGTTGAACAATTGTTAACTTTTACAAGTGTTGTAAAGAAAATTTTGAATTTGAACATTAATTAGATATTAAAATAAAAATAATAGAATAGCTTATACTAAATTTAGAACTTCCGCACATTCTCTTCCCATTGAATCCGGTAGACATAAAGGTATTTTGAAGAAAAACAGGCTGTAATCTCCATGAATGCAATGCAGTAGGGGATGAGAAACATTATATTTTATATTGTAATAATTGTCAAATCAAAGAACAGATAACAATCTAGATTCGAATGCTTTGCTGCCCTGTACATCTATGCCCCAAAGTTGGAAGATTGTAGCATGGACGAATAAAATGATATGATATGATATGATATGATATGATTTAATTAATTAATATCATATCATATCAATGCATTTTTGTAACCCATCTTGGGTTGTAGAAAACGATAGCAAGTCATCAGTATATAACAAACAATTAAGCTTCAAGCCATTAAATCTAAAAGGTAAAAATTGTTTATATCATCACATATTCCAGTAACAAAAATATTAAAAGGTTGAGAACTAAGGTTACACCTTTGTTTTACCCATCTGCATGAATTGAAATATGGAGTAATCCCTGCATTCAATATATTTTATGCTATATTTAGTGTTTTTATAGATAGATTTAATAACCTTATACAAATTTCCTCCCACACCTCACCGACAGTTTATATAACAGTCCTTCTCGCCAAACTGAATCGAAGGCTTTGAGGAAATCAGGGGAAATCAATGAAAGATGAAAACAAATAATTACCTGATTTTTCAGTTTGCAATTGACATATTTATTAATTAAGGATTTAAGAATATAAATTTTATCTATAGTATGATGGTTTATCTTGAAGCCAAACTGATTATCCACTACTTTGACTAGTTTTGTAAGTACTTAGTTAATCTAGTATTTAGCATCATAGTATATAATTTAGATACACAATTAGAAATGGCAATGCCTCTATAGTTATTAGCATCCTTTGGGTTACCTAACTTAAAAATAGGAATAATGACTATTATTCCAATGTGATGGCAATATGCCTGAATTTAAAACTTGTGTGAACATTTCAGGGATATATGAACGTAAATATCACCCTGTTACAAGTACACCGACAGAGGGCGCAGTAGTAAATCTGTTTAGCTATTAACAAATAACGCATTACTAGTATATGGCGATAGTTTATTAATGCAGATTGTCATGGAGTATACTCGCTTCCATCAGAGCTGTCTGGACAATCGGTCGTGGTGAAACAACTTGAAATCACAACCAAATGAACGTGTGGGGTTGACAGTTCAAAGGTCAAGAACTACGCTTGCGCACAAAATTTTCAAAATTTCATTGATGACTGTGGGTTGTGAAATAGCAGGATGGAATTAATTTTCGTGTTCTTGTGGCGTTGCCGTGGCAATGAGTAATTTGTATGATCCCGTGGAAATTATTTACGTTAAAAATCACATATACATAGGTCGCTGCGTTTGTATTTCATGACTCTCAAGTGACGGTTCTGTGCGATAAACTGTGCAGTACAGTATTGTATCCGAGCGCTAAACCACAGTTGTAAAGGGAAAATGTCGAAGAGAGTGTGTCCCAATTGCGGTGGCAGTGACATTGACGTTGACCAGGCACGTGGCAACGCTGTTTGTGTTGCCTGTGGGTCGGTTCTTGAAGATAATATCATTGTATCTGAGGTGAACTTCGCCGAAAACTCCCTGGGAGGAACTTCCGTTATTGGTCAATATGTCTCCGCAGAAGGTCAGTAGTCGGGTCGCATTTTAGCAATATATACTGAGCAAAGAATTTAATGAATATTGATATTATATACTTTATTAGGATCTTGCGGTAACGTCCATGACAAACTTCAAAATAAAATAAACACACGAATAACAATTGTATAATACATCCATACACATACCGTTAACTGAACACAACAAAACATGGAACAGTATTGACACTTTGACGATTAGTATTTGTTCTATTAGAGTGCATCTCAAATACAGGTACATGTACTTATTTTATTAGGCTATCACCTGATGCCACTTTTAAAGCTTGTTGATACGAGCGAGGCCAGTATTATCCATGAACCAAAGGTGAGTGGATAATACAGCCAATAACACCATGAGTATCAACCAGCTTCATAAATAAGTGATATCCGGTAGCAATCTTTTTATCACATAACCAAACCTGATTGCTGATATTAAAACTGTAATGTTTCAGAGCTACACTTACGAATCATATTCTAATTTGTACATTTGCAGTTGATTGTGGTTGCTGTTTTTTGATGATAATCAGAATGATTACCCTTCTTTGTTTTACCCGATTTGCTCTAATAGAAGCACATGTCAAATAGCAGCACACATGTGACAAATATTGCAAATAATGTATGCTGGATCATTATAATATGACTTATTATACATCTGTCACCATAACACCATAAGTTACAGCGTGCCCTAATTTTGCGATATTTCACAGAGTATTTTCATCGTACCAGGAAATGCGAATTCCTCTAATAATAAAAACAAACAAGGCTGCCACCAGAGTTTGACCCGACTCCACACAAAGAAGTTCGCTGATTCTGTACTAAACATTTTTAATTTTGGCATTCCCATGGTGTATCTGTAGAAAGAAAAGATGTATAATAATAAGGTTATTACAAGGATACCTCAAGTATGCACTCAAGTATGCCGTGCATCGACCTTCGTTGCAT